GGGCGGCCACCGGCCTGTATCCCTGATGGAAGCAGTGAGGCAGTGGGTGTCAAGGTGTAGGCTTCTGTGCCAGGCAGGTTCTCCAAAATGTGTGCGAAGATGGACTCCAGAACGTTTGTCATATCGTTATTTCTTATATTTCAAAAACTCGGTAGGAGTAGTGGGACACACATTTGGCGTATTATAAACCAAGTTGAGTTTGGAGAAGACATATAAACAAGCTTATGTCAACCGTGAAAACTGCACAATTCTCTATTGGGTGCAGATATCACAAGGACTTAAAATGAAGGTGACAAGCAAAACAGGTTGAGAGTGCCAGGGTCTCAGATTGTTAGTCTTCTGTATTCCCAGAACTACAATACGAAGAATTTTTGTTGTAGCCTTGGGCAAAATAATGGAGGGCGGACACAGGACCCATCTCAGTGGGGCTTCGACTTTTGGGGCCCAGGGCACAGGAACCAGACAGCAGCTGACCCTCACCATGGGGACAAGAAAGGAAGGCTGCTGCAGGACAGACAAAACGAGTGCATCTCAGATGTTAAACAAAACAAAGCAAAGACAGAGGCACTCTCCTCAGAAAGGTGAAGGTTTGGTATTTCCTTTCAAAGAGGAGTCAGGGGTTATTTCTGCTTTCTGCCCCAGTTATCAAATATAGTACTTACAGTCTTTAAGTCTACGTACACTATTAAAAAGAGAAAGGATTGAAAAGCATCGAACTCTTTTCAAGAGATTTTTACAACAGCTACCTCACACTAGAAACCTAAGTTTCTAACAAGCAGTTGAACTCACTGCAAGATGAAGCTCATTGTGTGTACAGAGAGCGCACCTCTATGGGCTGGAAGACCCAGAAAGAAATACAGCACACACCCATAATAATCATGGGTGGGTGACAAAACTGCTTTAGATCACTTTTTCTCCCCCCCCCCCTCCCCCCCACACACACACACTGAGGTTTGACTGACCAGGTACCCAAGGCACCCCGTTTTCGGGAGTGACTCCAGCGACTGGAGCAGTTCAGCCCCGGGGGAGGAACTGGCCTGCCAAGACAATTGACCAAATATAGCAAATGTCTCCAAGTAGTTTTTTCCAGCACAAAGGGCGGGGGAAGAAAAGAGTTGGTGGCTCCACACTGCCACCTGCCGACCAGAGAAACTGGTAGGCGCCATTTTCGTAGTCACCACACAGTTTTTTCATCCAATATTCAAAACTAAAACTAAAACTAATGCAAAAACACAGGAGCGATATCCAGTCAACAAATCCGAAGACACCGATGGTCTTAAGATGCAGGGACTACCCCAAGGAACCCCTACTCAGAAACGCCACCGCGACCTCTTGCTCATTCGCCCTCTTGGACCCATAGCAAAACTGGGGGACGTCCCAGGTTCACCAACTGGAGGAAAAGTGAGGGCCCCGCCAGTGTCCGAGCCAGCCTCATTAGCAGTCTGCTCGGGGACACTGTCCAAACTGTCTTGGGCCTGGCAGCACCGTGGCTACAGGGTTTCCGTCCAGCCGGTGATACTTTGTAGTCACACCTGGGACTAAACACGCACAGACGCTCCCACGGAGACTGGCAGGGAAAATGGCGCCTCAGAGCTCCAGCACGCATGCCCACAACCCGCCAATGGCGGACAGGGCAGAACCACTAGGAAAACAACTCTCCTTCCAGCCTGCACTTTGGTGCCTGTGGTCGGTTCCTAAGAGAGCAACAGGGAAGAGGCCTGGTTGGGGCCGTTGGGGCTGCTGCTTTTTTTTCCCCCCCCCCCCGATTCAAATTATCACCCTGCTGGACTCCAGGGATCCACTGACTTCTCTTTCCGCCATCTCAAAAGAAAAAAACATTCCTTCAGCTTGCAGCTTTCTGTTTCTCTGAACAGCAGAGGGCAGTAGTGCATCGTAAAAGTACGACACCATTTCTCCCCCCGCCCTTCCTTCAATGAAAAAAAGGAACTGACTCTTTTTTCTCATTGGCAGATGGCCGTGAACCTCTGCTCACTCTAAAACCACCTTCCCCCATTGTTTCACTCTCTTCCTAGTGAAAAATTGCATCCAACACACAAACTCTACTTTTCAAATTGCCTTTGTTAGACATTGCCATTTACCTTGCTTAGCAGTAAGTATTTCTGCTTCTCAAAACTGGCTCCACATGGCCTTTTCCAACGCATTTGAGGTTTCCTGGGCCATTATGTCTATATACCTCAGTTATGGGGAAGCAGGATAGGGACAAGGAAATATCATTTTTAAGTTGTTTTTGCAGCATTTTAGTAAGACAGAGTGCGCTTGCCCCACCCCGAACAGTGTGCACCCCAATAAGCAAATATCTAACCCCATCTTGCTTCTGTAACCTGCTGACGCCTTTTAAAAGTAAGACCAACCTGCAGAATGGGGCTTATAATTTGGAGACTGCCTCCTCTGAGCCCAAGTGTAACAAACAGTGCTCCACCATCCTAACTGAGTGTGAGTGACTTTCTGCAACAATGGCAGTCTCACCACATTCTAGAATATGGAGGGACAGACAAGGTAGAGTGTCTCAAAGCACAGACCCATTGTTGAACACGGGCCAGGCCCTCCCTGGGTCTCCGTAACACAGGCTCTAGTGTGTGAGTTCTTGACTCCCTGCAGGAAAAGTCCACAAGGGGCATCCAGGTGATCATGCGGATACATTTATGACAGCTGCAGGCAGGGAAACAGGGAAGGGCTTAGCCTAGAAGAAGCAACAGGAGAGCCTGGGCTGGGCTGCCTTAGCTCAGTGGCAACTCAGACAGAACGGGGAGTTGGGGACAGGTTCAGGGGATGAGCTTGGGACAAAGCTGCCAGCTACCCATTGGCATGGAGTTTAGGGCATTCAGGCCTGTGCAGAAAGAAGGGGGGGTGTACAGAGGTGTAGAAAGGAAAGGCAGTGGCTCAGGTTGCTCCCCACAGGGAGAGCCCAACCACTGGATCCTTCGTCTTCAGGCTGTTACCTCTGTCTCCCAGGCAGGAATCCTAGGGGAGGACTCAGTAGTCTGCACCAGGTCCCCAGGTGTGCCCTTGCAGGGTGGGGGTCAGTGGGGCCCCCTCCACTGATTGGTGAGAGACAGGTCAGGGGGCCGTTAGTCGCTGTAGTGGATTCTAACATTACCATCTGGTTTGGCTGCTTTTGGGGGCCAGGTGCTGAAGTAGAACTCAGGCTGGACTGTTATCTCCAGGGAGGAGAGGTTACCCTGGGGGGCCAGGTCCCTCTTTTCTCAGCTGTGGCCCCTCCAGGCACTGGGGCCTCCGACCCTGGTCACCTTTTGCACCTGGCTCTTCCTTGCTTGGCCAGTGTGTTCAGCCACCTGCCTCAGTTTCCCTGCTCCCCTTGCCAAGGCATCTTCCAAGGTCCTCCCTGTCCTGTCCCACCATGGCCCAAAACTGACCTTGAGGGGAACTGTGGGAGTCTTGCCAGTAGGACCCTGCCTTGCAGCAGGGTCACTGCATAGAACCTTGATTCTGCAAAGCATCCTTGCTAAGGTGATTTGGTCCAGTGGTTGAAAGCCACAGTCACCCTGGCCTGCTACCTTGGACAACTAATTGGCCTCAGGCACTGCCAGGCAGGGTCTGAAAAAAATAATACACCAAACATGCAGGAAGGGGCCCAGTGACAGCCATCTGAGGGTGGGTGTTGTGTGTGAACCCGCCCATCCAACTGCCATGGCCTTTCTCTCCCCAAGTCCAGCCAATGGTGCTGACGCCACTTAGGCAGGCCTCGCATCCCTGCCAACACGTCCCATGTTTCTTACCCAAAGTTTCTTCTAAAAAGTAGTGGATACAGGTAATCTGAACTCATGTAGAGCTACAACTTCTTTACGCTTAAAGGCATCCATAGATTGGACATGAAGGTCTCCCCCCGCCCCCATTTTCTCCCTGTAGGCGCCCTGGGGACCAGGACCAGGGCTCCAGAGAACTCCCTCCCTGCCCCGGCTCTGCCAGCCTTCTGCTCTCTGCTCTCTGAGATTCTCTGCTTTCTGGGCCTGCCGCCTCCTGGCTTTCAGGAAGGGGGTTCCAGCTAAGTTACTGGTGAACAGGAGGGTGCATCTAGGAATGGGAGGTAGGAGAGGCCCTGCTCCCAGTTCAGAAAGTCCTTTCTGTCCTGCTCTGTACAGGGATTCATTCCAGGAATCGTTTGTCTTTCCTGGAGGACCACCGCTTGGCTATGCCCTGGTGCAGGTGATCTCTAGGTTGTCCTCTGTGCTGACTGCAGAGCACCCGAGAGGGAGACTGGAGCTGAGTGACAGCATAAACAGGAGGCACTGGGCCACCCTCAGGAGGGGCAGGCACTCAGTGTGAGCTGCAAGCTGAGGGCCCGGTGCTCTCGGGTGACGCCACCTGCACTTGGTGTCCTGAAAAGGTTATTTGGAGGAGAAACTTTCCTCTCGTGTCAAGCTGAAGTGGTTTTCCTCTCTTATTCAAAACACTGGTCTGTGCCAAGTTCTATACCTGTATGGACTGTGACCTCCCCCTCTTGCCCCGAAGAAACAAGCTCTGTAAAACTGTGAGTTGTCCATGAAATATATTTTCCAGATAACAAGTTAGACTTTCCTACAGGGACTAAATAACAGCACGCTTGTAGGTATATTACATAGGGAGAGACACCGTTTTTTTTTTTTCCATGGAGGGATGCAGGGACAGTGTCTAGCGCCTCAGCTATGATTCCACATCTCGTGCTCTGTGCTGCCACAAAGTCTCTGTGCCTGAGGTGTCCTGAGTGTAACACGTGTCTGAGGCCTCTGTAGGTTGCGTGGTGCCATTCAGCACAGACACCTTCTCTGCCAGGTAGTGTAGTTATCTGCACCTTCAGACATGATCCCCTCCCTCACAGATGAGAAGTGCAAAAGGAAATTAAGAACATGGGGCTTGAAGCCAGAAAAGCTAGGGTGTGTTGTAAAAGGCCTTTCCTCTCTTAGACAAGATGAACTCCGGGATGAGGTGAAGTCCTTTTGTTATAGGAAAAGGAAGTGACCAGACACCGAGGGATTCTGGACTACGAGGTTTATTAACGTGCACAGGCCCACAGGAGTCAGTCTACAAATTCTGAGCCCTGAACAAAGGATTCTTGGGGTTTATATAGCCTACTGGGTCTTCCTCTCTACAGAGCAAAGCGGGATACAGAAGCGGAATGCGGTAATTAGTTCTATCTACGGGGCAGAAGCAGAGTACAAAGGCTAAATGTGAAAATTAATTCTATGGGGGTGGGGGGGTGCTAGCCCCAGTCCTTGTGACTATCCTGCTATTTGCTTTTCCCAGACGGCCTTATCACTGTCCCAGGGCGCCTGGGGTTTTGGGTGAGCAAAGGCTTTTCAAAGCTTCCCACATCACTTTCCTCACCAGCCAGTTCTTTTCCCAGAGGGAAGGCCAGGGGTGATGCACCAGGTTCAGGAGCTGAGTGAGAATGTATCCCTGCAGGGAGTTGAAGGAGCAGCCTGTCTCCTGGTCTTCTGTCCTGACCACAGCTTGGGGTGTTCCTGCTGAACAGGAACAGGGCTGCAGGGCTTGAGGAGATGGGACTGGTTGGTCCTGAGAAGCAGTAGTCTTAGTAGAATGAAAAGAGAAAAAAAGGAAATTAGACATGGAGTCATGAATTTATTTCACTTCTGCTTACCATCATTTTGGTTTCATTTTTTGCCTTTGGTTTTATAATCCTTTTTTCTCATTTTCAAGTACTCATTTTAAACACCATTAGAATTCTTTATATGAGTTGTTTTCGATGATGTTCCATAAGGAGAATTGAAAATACCTGGGGTCAAACATAGGGCAGGCTTCTGCATCTCTCAAAGCATAAAAAACTGTGTTCAAACAGCATGACATACAGGTCCCCTCTGAGCTGAGCACATTATCAGCTCTGGCCCTCAGCATCTCCGGGAAGGACAGGGCGGCCACCGGCCTGTTTCCCTGATGGAAGCGATGAGGCAGTGGGTGTCAAGGTATACGCAGGTTCTGCCAGGCAGGTTCTCCAAAATGTGTGCGAAGATGGACTCAGAACGTTTGTCATGTCGTTATTTCTTATATTTCAAAATCCAGGCGGGAGTCCTGGGAGACACATTTGGCTCATTATAAGCCCAGTCAAGTTCGAAGAAGATGTATCAGTTAGCTCATGTCGGCTGTGAAATCTGCATGTTTGTATGGTGGGTACAGAATGATCACAAGATCTTAAATATGAAGCTGACATGCAAAACATGGTGAGAGTGCCAGGATCCTGGAGAATGACTCTTCTGTCTCCCCAAAAGACGACAACAAGAAGAATTTCTTATAGCATGAAGGGAAAATAATGGGGTGCGTGCACAGGACACATCTCAGTGGGCTTCTGACTTCTGGGGCGCACTGGACAGGAGCCAGGGCGCAGCTGGCCCTCACCATGGGGACAGGAAAGGAAGGCTGCTGGAGGACAGATGAAAGGAGTGCGTTTCAGATGGTGAACAGACAAAGCTAAACAAACCCAAAGGAAAAACAGAGGTGCTGTCCTTAGGAAGGTTATGCTTTGGTATTTCTGGTTCACATAGGAGTCAAGGGTTATTTCTGGTTTCCATCTGAGTTGCCAAATATAGTACTTACAGGCTTTGAGATTGTATACTATTAAAATGAGAAATGAATGAAAATGGTTCAAGTCCTAGAAATGATTGTTCAGCTTTTATTTTTATTGTTTCTAGTTTTTAGATAGCGGGGAAGGTGGGGAGAACGACAGGAGAGAAACATCAATGTGTCGTTGGTTGCCTCTGGCTTGCCCCCTTCTGGGTACTGTTAGGTTGGAGCCCCTCAAAAAACCAGACGGATGCAGGGAGCTAAGGAGCAGGGTTTACTATCAGGGAATAAGAGGGAAAGTGGAGCCAACCTGGGGCAGTTGGGGGAGTCAACCAAGGAGGTTAGGACTCACTGAGTTGTTCCGAAGGCAGGATTTCTAAGCGCAAAAAGAAAAAACAAAACAAAACAAAAAAAACTGGCCAAGAGTAACTGCTTGGGGTGTCAGAGTCTGATTGGCTAGAGCTGGTTGCCCTGAGCTATTTCTGCTGACCCCTGCTGTTGATACCTCTAGTCTGGCTCAAGTTAAAGCTGCATCCTGTTATGCCAGATAGGCTGACCCCAGACCCCAACCTTAGCAGGGCATCTGTTTTTCCTGGGTAGGGTCTGCAGGCAGCTTCCCACATTTCACTTTCCCAAAGTGCAGTTTTCCCACTTGGTGATTTTCCATTCCTCCCAGGCCTACCTGGGTCTGTGAGGTACCCGCCCCTGCAACCCAGGCATGTGTCCTATACTGGCAATCAAGCTGGCCAAACCTTGATTAAATGGCCAGCCCTCAATCCGCGAGCTACAGCAGCAAGGGCCTTTCAAGAGACTTTTACAACAGCTACCTACCTCATGCTAAAAACGTGAGTTTCGAATCAAAGAAGTTGAACTCACACTGCAAGATGAAGCTCATTGTGTGTGCAGTGCACCTTTATGGGCAACAATGCCCATAAAGAAATGTCACCCACTAATAATCATCAGTAGGTGACAAAGCTGTGTTTTAGGGTTTGTTTCTTCTCTTCCTCCCAGTGGTCCACACTGAGGTTTGAGTGAGCAGGTAACTGAAAAGTATGCTGATAAAAGCCCATGGGAAGACCTTTCACAAACTCAGGAATACAGGATAGGAAGGAGCCAAGGCACCCAGTTTTCAGTAAGGGACTCCAGGAAATGCACCAGTCCAGCCACTAGAAAAAGCAGGCCTGCCACTGCCTGTGTCAAGACAATGGACTGAGTATGCCAGTTTTTTCCAGCACAAAGGGAGGGGGACAAAACACTCAGTGGCTCCACACTGCCACCTGCTGCCCAGAGAAACTTACCGCCTTCGTGCTTGGCAGGCAGGGCCTGTTTTTTTTCTCCCCGAATTTCACCAGAACACTAAAAAGAGACAAAAATATAAGAGGACAATGCTCCAGACTCCACAGCCCCGTAACTCTAATGATCGAAAGATGCAGGGATGAGCCTAAGGAACCCCTACACAAAAACACAGAGGACACCTCTTCCTTAGTCCCGCCCACCCTCGGAGCGGTTGCGAGGTAAGCAGAAGTCCCAGGTCCCTTGGAAGTTGGTTGGCTCTAGGCCAGCAGGAGGGCGAAAAGTCAGGGCCAAACCAGTGTCAATCCCCTCTAACTTAGCCGCCTCAGGGACCTTGTTCCAGACTCTCTTCTGCTGGGCAGCACCAGGGCTACTGGGTATTGGTTTCTCAAGTGATAGTTTAAATCTGCACTTCGCATTAAACCTACTCAGGTACTCCTGGGGGAACTGACGGGGAAACTGACAGGGACGCTGTCCCGGAAGTCCGAGGATTCCGCGGGCGCATGCCCAGAACCCTCCAATCGCAGCGAGGACAGCAGCACTAGCCAATGGCAACTTTCCTGCCAGCCTGTACTTCCTGCTTCTGTGGCGGGTTCCCCAGACAGCACCGGGGAAGTGGAATTGCTGGGCCTTTGGGGCAGGTTCTTTTCCATCGGCTGGTAGGAATCATCACTGTGCTGGACTGCAGCAGCCAGTGGGGTCTCTGCCTGTGTGCCTAGCCTCTTAGGAAAAAAGAACATCCGTTTCATGTGCTCCCTACTGTTTCTCTGGACAAGAGAGGACAGTGGGGGGGATCGTGTGAATGGCATTCCAGCTCTTCCCTGTGCTCTCTTCAGTTAAAATATATATATATTTTTTTACTTAATTCTTCCACATTGGTACGAAGGCTGTAGACCGGTACAGCCAGCCTCAGTGACCTCCTTGGCTCCTATTTTTCGGTAGGTTCCCAAAGAAACTTGGTTCCTAAACACAGAAACGCTTTGCTTTTCAAATTGGCGTTCTTATAGGTTGTCACTTTTTTGCTTAGAGGTATGTGTTTCTTCTTCTGGAAATTTAGTCCGCATTCCCTTTCCCCAACTCATTTGGGGCTTAATGGGTCATTTTGTCTATATACTTCAGTTATGACAGTCTCAGACCTCAGTATAGAACATCCCGGGTCAGATAAAGTAGAGCGTTTCCAAGCACAGGCCCATTGTTGCCAGACAGGAGCCAGGCCTTCAGTGGGTCTGCCTAACTCAGGCTCTAGTGTGTGAGTTCTTGACTCCATGCAGGAAATGTCCACAAGGGGCATCCAGGTGACCATGTGGATACATTTATGACAGCTGCAGGCAGGAAAGCAGGGAAGGGCTTAGCCTAGAAGAAGCAACAGGAGAGCCTGGGCTGGGCTGCCTTAGCTCAGTGGCAACTCAGACAGAAGGAGTTGGGGACAGGTTCAGGGGATCGGCTTGGGACGAGCTGCCAGCTGCCCATTGCTTTGAAATTTAGGACACCCAGGCCTCTGCAGAAAGAAGGGGAGGGTGGGGGTCTGGGGGTGCAGAAAAGAAGGCCAGTGGCTCAGGCAGCTCCCCACAGGGGAGAGCCCACTCATTGGATCCTTTGCCTTCAGACTGTTACCTCTGTCTTCCAGGCAGGAATCCTAGGGGAGGACTCAGTAGAGTCTGCACCAGGTCTCCAGGTGTGCTCTTGCAGGGTGGGGGTCAGTGGGGCCCCCCTCCACTGATTTGTCGGTGACAGGTCAGGGGGCTGTTAGTCACTGCAGTGGGTTCTGACATCACCAGCTGGTTTGGCTGCTTTTGTGGGCCAGGGGCTGAAATGGAACCCAGGCCTGACTGTTCTCTCCAGGGAGGAGAGGTTACCCTGGGGGGTCAGGTCCTTCTTATGCCAGCTGCAGCCCCTCCAGGCACTGGGGCCTTTGGCCCTGGTCATCTTCTTCACCTGGCTGTATATGGTGTGTCCTCCGTGTCCTGTCCCATCATCACCCAAAACTGACTATGAAGTCTACTGTTGGTGTCTTTCCAGTAGGACCTTGTCCTGCAAACAACCTCGATTCTGCAATGCATCCTAAGGTGATTTGGTCCAGTGGTTGAAAGCCTCAGTCACCCTGGCCTGCTACCTTGGATGACTAATTGGGCTCAGGCACTGCCAGGCAGGGTCTGAAAAAAAATACACGGAACACGTACGAAGGGGCCCAGTGACAGCCATCTGAGGGTGGGTGTTGTGTGTGAACCACCCCATCCGACTGCCATGGCCTTTCTCTCCCCAAGTCCAGCTAATGGCACTGCCGCCAGTTAGGCAGGCCTCACATCCATGCCAACACGTCCCATGTTTCTCACCCGAAGTTTCTTCTAAAAACTAGGGGACACAGGTAATCTGAACTCATGTAGATCTACAACTTCTTTACGCTTAAAGGCATCTTTAGATTGGACGTGAAGGTCTCCCCCCCCACACACACATTTTCTCCCTGTAGGCCCCCTGGGGACCTGGACCAGGGCTCCAGAGAACTCCCTCCCTGCCCCGGCTCTGCCAGCCTTCTGCTCTCTGCTCTCTGAGATTCTCTGCTTTCTGGGCCTGCCTCCTCCTGGCTTTCAGGAAGGGGGTTCCAGCTAAGTTACTGGTGAACAGGAGGGTGCACCTAGGAATGGGAGGTGCGAGAGGCCCTGCTCCCAGTACAGAAAGTCCTTTCTGTCCTGCTCTGTACAGGGATTCATTCCAGGAATCGTTTGTCTTTCCTGGAGGACCACCACTTGGCTATGCCCTGGTGCAGGTGATCTCTAGGTTGTCCTCTGTGCTGACTGCAGAGCACCCGAGAGGGAGACTGGAGCTGAGTGACAGCATAAACAGGTGGCACTGGGCCACCCTGAGGAGGGCCAGGCACTGAGTGTGAGCTGCAAGCTGAGGGCCCGGTGCTCTCGGGTGACGCCACCTGCACTTGGTGTCCTGAAAAGGTTATTTGGAGGAGAAACTTTCCTCTTGTGTCAAGCTGAAGTGGTTTTCCTCTCTTATTCAAAACACTGGTCTGTGCCAAGTTCTATACCTGCATGGACGGTGACCTCCCCTCCTCGCCCCCAAGAAACAAGCTCTGTAAAACTGTGAGTGGTCCATGAATTATATTTTCCAGATAATAAGTCAGACTTTCCTACGGGGACTAAATAACGGTACGCTTGCAGGTGTGTTACATAGGCAGATACACTGTTTTCTTCCATGGAGGGATGCAGGGACAGTGTCTAGCGCCCCAGCTATGATTCCACACCATGTGCTCTGTGCTGCCACAAATTCACGTGGCTGAGATGTCCTAGGTGTAACGCGTCAGGCACTCCATCCACTCAGGCCTCTGTAGGTTGTCTGGTGCCATTCAGCACAGACACCTTCTCTGCCAGGTAGTGTAGTTATCTGCCCCTTCAGACATGATTCCCCTCCTCACACATGAGAAGTGCAAAAGGAAATTAAGAACTCGGGGCTTGAAGCCAGGAAAGCTAGGGTGTGTTGCAAAGGGCCTGTCCTCTGTTAGACAAGATGATCTCCTGGACGAGGTGAAGTCCTTTCCTCACCCGCCAGTTCTTTTCCCAGAGGGAAGGCCAGGGGTGATGCACCAGGTTCAGGAGCTGAGTGAGAAAGGACCCCTGCAGGGATTTGAAGGAGCGGCCTGTTTCCTGGTCTTCTGTCCTGACCACAGCTTGAATCATCTGTTTCAGCAGGACAGGGCTGCAGGGGTTGACCAGCTGTCACTTTGTGCCCTTGATGAGTAGCATTGGCCTCGGACTCAAAAGAAAAATGATCAGTGGCCCTTGGTGAACCGTGGACCCCCTGGACTGCATCTCTGTTGGAACTGTTTGGGGCAGGGCAGGGTGGTGATGTGTCACCCAGTGATGACCATAGGACCTAGGGATCAGGACCTCTAGTCAGGTATGATTTGAGTGGCTTCACAGAAGTGGTGGTTGCTCACAGGACACCGTGAAGACTTGGGTGTGCGAAGCACTCGTCCCTGACAACTGCACACGTGCTTCCATGGGTGCCGCCATGATGCCTAACGCCACTCTATGTTGGACAGTAGACCCTGCATTCCTGGCATTTCTGGACGCTGTCAGTGTTCTGGGCGACCTCATGGGCGGGTCATGCAACTTCACGAAGGAGAGCATGTAAATCTCGGGCACGGAGTTGAACTTCTTGCATCGCTTAACAGAGCCTGGCATCTGGGTTGGTTCCGAGTCGCTGAGCTCCTTCACACAGTTCCTTCTCACCCCTCCCCGTGGGAATGGGCCTTTTGCAGAGGAAGTCAGAGGGAGCCCTCCCAGTGGTCTCTAATCGGTGTCTCTAGGTAGAGCCTGGTTCATCCAGCCCCTGTGAAGGGGCCTGGACTGTTTGCCAGTAAAGCAGTAAAGCCTGAGGGAGGGCAGGGTCAGGGCTAGGCTTTGAAACAGCCTCTTCCATCTCTAAGGCTTCTAGGTACGCGTGCGCGTGCGGGGCTGGGGTGCATTTTTGTCAGTATTGGCTACATCCGCATTTCCGGCGGGCAGTCGGCTTTGGGAAAGCAGGTTCTCCCACTCGGGGAGTGTTCCTAAAAAGCAGACTAACAGATACAGAAAGGGAGACTGAGGAGCACAGGCTCTCCCCGCAACACCTCACCCCTCACTCCAAATTCCCTTCAAACGGGCAATATACGTCTGTCTCGGTTTTTTGGAGGATCTGGGGAATGTTGGACTGAAGTGTTGGACTTGGGTCAGGGCCTTCCTGGGAGGGAGCAGGGGAAGGTCTGGGTCTAAAGGTGAGAGGGAGCTGAGGCAGACAGGAGTGCACAGATCGGGAAGGAGGGAAGCCAGAGGGAAGTGGAGTTACAGGCATCGGCTACAGAGGGGGAGGCGGTTTGTGTGGAGGGAAATGGCTCAAGCTGTTTCAGAGAGACCTCCGGAGATGGGCGTCTGTCTGCCCGAGTCCCGCCTTTCCTGAGCGGCTGCTTCTTGCCCTTCAAAGAAAGCCACCCGTTATAAGTCAGCTTTTTTTTCTTTCTTTTTCTTTGCTTTCTGTTTTTCAGGGGTCAAGTCCATGCACAAGTTTTGCTGGGTCTCAAAAGCCCTAAAGGGACTCTCAAAATGGCAAGATTGCCTTGCCTGAAGTCACTCCGGTTAGAGAGGCACTGAAACACCCAGGACCACCGCGGCAGAGCATGGGTGCGGTGGGGGTCCGCCGGGGGGCCTGACTGTCACATTGGGAGTCGCTTGTGGGAAAAGAGGTTCAAGCTCTAAGAAAGGAGAAGACTCCTGTTCTATCTGAGAACCATCGTGGAATTCTGTGCCGGGCCAGAAGAACCCTTAAAGACGGAGGAACAGAGACACCGTGACTTCAGTCAGACACTAGGTTAACCCTATTCTTTTTTTAACAGATTATTTATTTGTTTGTTTGTTTGTTTATTTTTAGAGAGGGGAAGGGAGGGAGAAAGAGAGGGGGAGAAACATCCGTGTGTGGTTGCTTCTCACACACCTCCCCACTGGGGACCTGGCTCATAACCCAGGCATGTGCCCCAAGTGGGAATTGAACAGGCGATGGGCCGGGCAGCTATTCTAAGAATCCAACCTACAAGTTTCGGGCCAGGGTGCGACACCGGAACACAGGAGCGGGACTCGGCTCTCAAGCTGTGTTCCCCGAGAGACAAAGAAGGGAGGGATACTCTGTGGGCTCAACCCTAGTCTGAAACCTCAGTAGGGTCTGGTGACACTTCACACCTATCCCAGCCAAGGCACCATACTGTCAAGGAAAAAGGAAAAAAAAGGTTAAAGTGTCTCAAACAGGGGTTATAGATTTTATCCCACTGAGGTACATCAAGGAGCAAGGTGAGACCAGATGACTCCGAGGCCTAAGCAGGGTTGGAGTTTCTGGAGCGGGGCGAGGAGAAGAGAGGAGCACAGACTGTGTGGTATGTCGTAGGTCGTTGTTTTCTTACCAGTAACTGCTCCAGACTAGTGTTTGGAGAGCGTGGGAGTTCACTGCACTCCTGGGTACCTCTTGCCTCGTTCTTTGGTTCAATCTCATGCCTGCAGCTGTCACTCAGCTGTGTCCTTTGAGAGCTGTTTTTGTGCTCATTGTGGTTTGTGAAGGTTTTTTTTGGGTGGGGGGCAATGGCAAAAAATGGGGGAGGGGAGGGCAGGGAAGTGGAAAAAGGAAAGGAGACATGGACTTAGTGAACTAATTTCAATCCTCTCTAGCTCCATTTTCTCTTTTAATTCTCACTTCTCCTTACTCTCTCAAGCACTCGTTTTAAACTTGATGAGATCTCTTTATGTGAATTCTCGCCAATCCGTTTTACACGAGGATATACAAATAAATAACAAAAGTACTAATTATATGAAAAGATATTGAATCTTACACAGAAAATTGTTATCTTAGAACAAGGACAGAATATTGTTTACCTTTCCATTCAGCAACGCTTAAAAATTTACCAGTGCTCTCAGGATGCAGTGATGCAGGCGCTGACCTATGTTCCTGGTTAAAGGCATGTGGAAATATGTGTCAGCTGGTAGGAATCCGCGTGAGGCAAATTATCTAAAAGGTGGGCAGAGATTTGTGCAAAACGTTTACCGTGCGTGACTTTTTTTTTTCTGTTTCAAAAACCATGTGGGAAATGTGGAAGGCGCATGTTCTGGAATATAGGGAAAGTTCAGTTTCAAGAAAATATACAAATTACCCAATGTCAACCATAAAAACTTCAGAATTCGACATTGGACAGGGAACCATCACGAGGAGGTAAAACCGAAGGTGATGTGCAAACCGCGTTGAGAGTCGTCCTGTGAGAGATGATTCCTCTTTTTCTTTGGACTTTTCCCTGTCTTCCCAAGTGACTGCAGTCCAGAGCATTTCCTCATATATAGATCTTCTCGATGGAAAGCCCTCCAAATCACCAGTGAGTTTTCCACCAGAAAGCCCAAGTGGGGAGTTGAAAAGCTGTCTGCTGTAAGTAAATGTAAACAGTGCCTTTTATTGCCGCACTCAGTGTGGTGGCCGGAAATCATGAACCAACTACAAACACTACAGGGAATATCGCAGGTGGCACCAAGACTGGGAACATGACATCTGCAAGTGCCCAGCTGCCGACCTGCTGGGTCATGTGTACTGGCTGCCACCCCAGCAAGCAGAAGCTGTTACCGCCCTCATTTCACACCCGTGGGAACTGTGGTGCACAGCAGGGCTCACTTGTCTGTGGTCTCAGGGCTCCTCAGAGAGGGCCTCGAGGTCCAGTCAGACCCTGCACATTGCACCCTGGCTTGCAGGATGCTTTCCTGCCCCCAGCACGAGAAGGAAATAAAAGCCTCACTGGGGAAGAGAGTGAAGGAGACAGCAAAACTTTTCAAAGCAGTGTGAGGGCACAGCGGTCACTCCCATGCTAAATGGGAAAGTGTGTGTGGTGGTGGTGGTGGGAGGGGGGGGGCATGTAGGAAATGGTTCATGGCAGTCCCATCCCAGTATTAAGAAACAATGACTTATTTACAAAGACAAGAATTTGGAAGAAATCAGATGCTTGCTCATTGACTCGAAATATACGTATTTATATATATATTGGAGAACACACTGCTTTGGGTGGTGTTCCCTTGACATCCGGAAAATACAATGGAGAGCAAAAATAAAACAATGAAGCAAAAAATAGATATAGCCCCTGTCTGTGGGAAGATATAGAGCTGAGCAGTCATTTCTGCTTTCTGTATCAGTGCTTAAATATAATTTTTAACTCTTTTACACTACATGTAATTTTAGGGAGAGAAGTGAAAAAAATTTTTTTCAAGTCTTCTCAAATGATTCTTAATAAGTAACTAATTTGAAAAATCTCGTTTAATAACAGATGTTGAAGTGACAATGCAATATGAGTATCATTGTGTTTACACAGCACATGAAAGCCTGAAAACATTTAAGAAAGTTCATCACGAAGTATTATTCATGGTCATTGGTGGGCGATGGGACTGTGGTTTAGATTATTATGTTTAATCAGCTCTAAATTTTTCTAAAGGGAGAGGTTTGAGTGCCTAACAACTGAAGAATATCTTCGTGAAGGATCAAAAGAACTTGGAGAGCCCCGGCTGGGGTGACCCAGTGGATTGAGTGCCCGCCTTCAAACCAAAGGGTCACCGGCTGGATTCCCAGTCCAGGGCACTTGCCTGGGTTGCAGGCCAGGCCCAGGGCAACTGGCACGGGAGAGGCAACCACACGTGGATGGTTCTTCCCCCTCTCTTCCTCCCTCCCTTACCCTCTCTAAAAATAAGTAAATAAAAGCTCAAAGGCAAACAACTTGGAGAAAGCCAATTTCTCCTCCATTTAGAGGAAGAGAAATACAAGTCGCAGAACCGGACCCTACGTTTTCGGTAGCCCTGCCACCAAAGGGAGCAACCCCGACCCAAGAAGGGATCGGCCATTGGTTCACGGGAATTGTCCCGTGACTTCCGTCTAAATTTTTTTTTAAGAAGGTTGGGCGGGGGAGAAGTAAGCAGATCACTGCATGGTGCCACACTGCCCCCTGCTGACCGAAGAAACCGCAAGCCACCAACCGCGGCACAAAAGTGTCCCTTCTGCCGCTCCCCACTGAAGGGCCCCTCCTGACACCGGTGGAATTGAAAGCTGTGAACCCGCCCAGCCCCGATTGGGCCCTTTCTCTAGTCCCGCCCTCAGAATGGGGTACTGGCAGGAAGTCCCACCCCTAAAGGAAGCACCGGAAGACAGGACTTCGCGCGGATTGCCCGTTTGTGGGCCAGCGAGTGGGTCCCAGTGCGCTCGCTGCCAGTCTCCTAGCCAGTGGGTATTGTACTACAGGTTGTGTCGCAGACCACCTCAGAACCTGGGGCTGAAGGGCCGGGCCGGTGAGGTCCAGCTCCTCTGACCCAACTGCCCCGGCAGCCCCACTACCAGGAACGCGGGACCTTTACCTATACCCTCGCCTTCCTCCCGGTGCACCCACTCGTATCCATCTCTGCAAGAGTTCAATGCCACACACCCCATCCTCCTCTCAGCCCTCATTCCTCCGAACCCGACAGGTGACCTCAAGGTCCAGGAGCCCGGCCCAGTCAACCCAGAGAATCTGGATCTTCAAGGAGGTTCTTCGCCCCACAGTATGTTCCCCTGCCCACAATCACGCCCTGGGCATCAGGAGATGCAGCAGTGCCTCTCCATGATGACCCTTTCTAGCACTCCTTCTCTGATCACCTGTGAATGAACACCCTGCCCCGGTCAACCAGGTCACTTCCTCTGATGCCTCTGCTCAGAGAGCCATGAACCTTTAGGGACCTGCAGTGAGGATCCCACAGTCTTCCTCAACAACCACCAGGCCCCTCCTTATCCAGCCTACCCAGAAATATAAACACCACTTCTACCACATCTCTCTGGCTCCTTCCTCCCCCCACCCCACCCCACCCCCCTCCCTGCCTCTATATACACTCTCCTGCTGTGGTCCAATAAGGGACTCAAGCCCACCTGTTTGTGAAAACACTGCAGCACTGACGCTGGGCATGCCCACTCCTGACTGCAGCCGGTGTCACCTGTGCTCAGGATCCCATGGCTACCACCCACGCAGGCGCTTGGCTCCTGCACTCATCATTCCTCCTCTCTCCTGACCCCTCGCTGAAGAGGGAGGCGGAGGTAACCAAAAGGGCTACATTGTCACATAACTCTTTGTTCTTTGAAATGGATAAAGACACACAGGCATAGAAAATGGACTTGGTAAATGTGCCACAGGTGCCAGAGCTGTTATCTATGAAGGGCATAAAACGCTCATGGTAGGATCAGAAAATCTGGATAGTAATGTTGGTGGCCTTGAGTAGACCAGTTTGCAGGGGTGTGACGGGGTTGCAGAAGCCTTATTGGCCCTGGCTGGTGTGGCCTAGTGGATTGAGTGCCGGCCTGTGAACTAAGGGGACACGGGTTCAATGCCTGCTCAGGGCACATGCCTGGGTTGCTGGCCACATCCCCAGCTGCGGGTACACGAGATGCAACTGCACATTCATGTTTCTCTCCCTCTCTCTCTCTCCCTTCCCCCTCTCTAAATATAAATAAATAAAATCTTTTTTTAAGCCTTATTGAAGGGGACTGAGGAGCAAGACTCCATGTGCAAGGGGGTTGGGTTCCCCCAATTTCGTGGGACAGTGCCGTGTGCAGAGAGCAGGCGATATTTCAGGAGACTACTGCTAAGTGCAAGAGCACAGTGCCTGAGCAGGTGGAAGGCCAGGGACGCCAAGCACAGGTGAGGGCTGGCTGCAGACACCAGGGGGCCATGCCCAGGGCCACAGGGGAGAAACAGGGCCATTCCACTTGGGAAGCGGGGGTAGGCCTACCTCTGTGCTTCTGTGTTCTGCATTCGTTCTTAGGAAAGCTCATTGGATTGCCAGAGGGTTACTAGAGAGGAAGGCAGTGGTGTTGGGTGAAAGTGAGAATCAATGCTCTTCTAGTTAGGGATTTAAGAGAATTAAAGAAAGCTTAAATGGCCACCAATGTTCAAGTGCTCTGCTCTGATACAGGCAGAGATAGGCCTCTTACCAACAGCAGCACGAGAGTGTGGAAAGGGTAGAATGGAAGAAGAGCAGTGTGTCGGAGGGGCAGTTTATAGCCCTGGTGGATGGTGAGGAAGCTATGGGGTCCACACAGGAGGCCCCGTGAGCTCGAAGGCTGTCTAAAGGGAGGCATTGGAGGGGGTGTGCTAGAAGAGCGGGCTATGGTTTTGAGGTGATGACAGAGGAGAATACTACAAACTTAGATCAAGGAGAAGAGAGACCAGAGTGGGGCCCTGCTTCCCTGGTGCCCAGGCAAGAACTTGGGTGTGGGGATGCAGGGTCCAGAGGAAGAGAAGCATGTCCCTGAGGAGGTAGAGGCTCCCTGTTGACCACCTCAGGCTCATGGGCCCACAGGTCGCCTGCATGGTTGCAAAGAATGAGGACCACCTGAGAGTGCATCCCTGGAATAGCTTGTTCAGGACTGAGGATGGGGTGGGGTGGGGTCGGCGTGAAATGTCTGGAGGAGAGTAAAGAGGGGATAGCTACAGGTGCCTTGGGTGAGTCACCTGGGGAAATCCTGCAACAGTGTGTATCACTGGTCCCACTTGGACATAACAGTTTGCAGCCTGATCTGGGCCTAACACTGCAGTGACACTGGGAGAGAGACTGGCAGAGAAGGCACAGGACTCCAGCGCACATGCCCAGAACCCAACAGTCGCAGGGAGGGCAGCGCCACTTGTGAGAAGCAACTTTGCTGCTCTCCTAGACTTCTGGCTCCTGTTGCAGGTTCCCAGGGCACCAAGGGGGAAGTGGCCTTACTGGGGCCGTTTGGACAGGTTCTTTTCCATTCGCCGAGTGTACGATACTTACAATCTTTAAGACCATGTACACTGTTGAAAAGAGGGAATAAATGGAAATCATTCAAGTCCTTTCAAATGATTTTTACAACAGCTACCTCATGTTAAAACCCTGAGTTTCTAAAATAAAAGAGGTTGAAGTCACACCGCAAGATGAATCTCATTGTGTGCGCAGTGCACCCTTACCGGCCGGGAAGACCAATCAAGAAATGTATCACACACTAATTAATAGTGGTCATGGGAGGGTGACCTAAGGGTGGTTTACATCACCTTCTTTAAATCAGTCCTCCAAATTGTGTACAATGAGGTTTGAGTGGCGGGGTAACTGAAAAGTATGCTGATAAAAGACAACGGGAAGACAGTTCACAGAATCAGAAATTGAAGATACCAAAGATCCAAGACACCCAGTTTTCAGCAGGAACGCCAAAGAATGGAGCAGTTCAGCCACTGGAAGGAAGGGCCCAGCAGTCAGGAGGCCCAGACCAACGATCTAATATCCCGGAAATGGCTCCAAACACTTTTTTTCCAGCGCAAAGGGCGGGGTAGAAAAAGCATTCGTGGCTCCACACTGCCACCTGCCGACCACAGAAACTCGGCACCGTCATTCTTGATAGTCAGTGCCTGTTCCCCCCCCCCCCCGCCACTCCCCGTTTTTCAAAACTAAAACAAGCTCAAAAACACGAGAGAAGAATTTCCGTGACTTCACACCCGACGACCAAGGTGGCCAGAAGAGGCAGGGACGAGCCCAAGGAACCCCTGACCCACAACACCAGCTCCACCTCCACCTCTCCCTTAGTCCCGCCCACAGAGCCACAGCACCGTAAGGGGACGTTCCTGGTCCCCGGTCCCACACCCCGCCCCGGAAGACTGCAGCTGCCCCGCCGGTAGTTACCTCGGCTACAGGGTTTCTGTCCCTCAGGTGATAGTTTGTAGCCACAACTTGGACTAAACCTGCAGAGACACTCCCACCGAGAAGGTGGGGAGACAGCCACAGAAGCCCCCCAAGGCTCCAGCGCGCATGCCCACAACCCGCCAATCCCAGCGAGGGCAGCACCAGCTTCTAGGAAGCGACCTGCCCGCACGCCCGGACTTCTGGCTCACGTGGCGGGGTCCCAAGTGGCACTGGGGAACAGGGGAAGAGGCCTTGCTTGGGGCCTTTTGGGCAGGTTCTATTCCTTTTGCCGATGGGAATCGTCACCCCGCTGGACCCCGGCCGCCACTGGGGTCTCAGACTCTGCGTGCAGCCGCAGTGGAAAAGACACAGCTTCCATTCACTGTGTAGCCTTCTGTTTCTCCAGGCAGTAGAGGGCAGTGGCGCACCGTGCGCGCACCGGAGCAGCTCTACCCCGCCCTTTGTGCCGGGAAAAAAAAATGACCCTATTCTTTTCCCTGATTGCTGGTTATGCTGTAGGCCGGTGCAGGCTTAGCAGCTACTTTGCTCTGCTTTTTTCAGCAGGTTCCCAGTTAAAACTTGGATTCTACGCACAGAAACGCTTTGCTTTTTGAAATTGCCTTTTCTTCTACGTTGCATCCTAGGTTGCTGCTTAACAACCTGTATTTCGGCTTCTCTCAGTTGGGTGCACATTCATTTTCCCCAACTCATTTGGGTTTAAAGGGAGTATTATGTCTATATACTTCCATTATGGCAGTCACTCTTACCCCATTATAGCAAGTTGAGGGACAGATATAGTAATTCAAACCACAGTTCCATCACCCCTTACTGACCATTATTTTTTGGTCAGTGTTTTAGACAGTTTTCATCAAAAAGGTACATTTTAAATATACTAAGGATCATTTCCGCATCATCACTTCAAGATCCTCTTAAAATTTAGTTAAACAGATTTTCAGTTTTTATTAATTTATCTGTTTATTGTTAGAGACAGGGGAAAAGAACAGAGAAAGAGAGAAACAAACAGATCAGTTGCCTCTCACACAGGCCCCAACTGAGGACCAGCCCACAACCCAGGCATGTTCCCTGACTTGCATCAAACCTGTGATTTGTGCTTTGCAGAGTATGGCAGCCAACTAATTGAGCCACACCACTCAGGGCTCTATTTTACATTTTAAATTTCTTTTTAATACTTTTATTTTTCTAAAAGATTTATTTTCAGAGAGAGGAGAAGGGAGGACGACAAGAAGAGAAATATCAATATGTGGTTGTGTTGCAGGAAAATTAAGCAACTAGACAAGGAGGGTTTCTGGAGCAGGAGCTTTTATTAACGTGTAGGGGCCCAGAGGAGTCAGTCTCCTAATTCTGAGCCCAGAACAAAGGATTCTTGGGGTTTATATAGCCTTTGGAGTAGTAAAGCAAGATACAGAAGCAGGAATGCGGAAGTCAGTCCTAGCTACCAGGTGAAAGTAAAGTACAGAGGCTAAATTCCAAAGTCAGTTTTTAACAGCAGGGGTGTTAATCTCAGTCCTAGCTAATGCACCCTGTTTACTTATCCCAGACAGCCCCATCATTCTCCCCAGGGCGCCTGGGGTCTGGGCAAATAAAGGTTAAACAAAGGTTCTTCAGAACTTCCCATATCAGTTGGACTTGCTTGCCACCCACCTGCAACCTGCCCTGAAGTCCAGGCATGTACCCTGACAGGGATTGCAACCGGTGAACCAACCATTCCCAAGAGGGCACTCAAACCACTGAGCCACAACAGCCAGCGGGTTTGTTTGTTTTAATTAAAAACATATTTATCCAGGTTTTAATACTTTTAGTTCTCTAACTGAAAAAATTATGCAAACTGAAAAGTTAGAAAGATTCTGTGAATCTTATGTTCAAAATGCACTGATACATGATCCAAAGATAGCAGTATAGTTGCCCTTTATGACAGTAGTAGCTAAAGTGAGTGCATGTCTGTTGCACTCTTTTTCCTGGACTCCTGCAGGAGTACCTAGGACATAGTGGGTGCTTAGTAAATATTGTGAAATGTTTGCAAATTTTTAACACCTGGGTGGATATATACATATATGTGTGTGTGTGTATAAAATCAGTCCATGTAGAAGATATCCAGGCATGAGATGTGAAAAATAGAGACATTTATTGAAGAAGATACAAAATACAAGAAATATTGTACTTCAGACAATAATGCCTCAGTCCTCTTCAGAGTAGACACCTTAAAACCTTCCACTGTTCTCCTAGTCATCATCATCTCCTGGCAAACTGAGAGAAGCCGAAATACAGGTTGTTAAGCAGCAACCTAGGATGCAACGTAGAAGAAAAGGCAATTTCAAAAAGCAAAGCGTTTCTGTGCGTAGAATCCAAGTTTTAACTGGGAACCTGCTGAAAAAAGCAGAGCAAAGTAGCTGCTAAGCCTGCACCGGCCTACAGCATAACCAGCAATCAGGGAAAAGAATAGGGTCATTTTTTTTCCCGGCACAAAGGGCGGGGTAGAGCTGCTCCGGTGCGCGCACGGTGCGCCACTGCCCTCTACTGCCTGGAGAAACAGAAGGCTACACAGTGAATGGAAGCTGTGTCTTTTCCACTGCGGCTGCACGCAGAGTCTGAGACCCCAGTGGCGGCCGGGGTCCAGCGGGGTGACGATTCCCATCGGCAAAAGGAATAGAACCTGCCCAAAAGGCCCCAAGCAAGGCCTCTTCCCCTGTTCCCCAGTGCCACTTGGGACCCCGCCACGTGAGCCAGAAGTCCGGGCGTGCGGGCAGGTCGCTTCCCAGAAGCTGGTGCTGCCCTCGCTGGGATTGGCGGGTTGTGGGCATGCGCGCTGGAGCCTTGGGGGGCTTCTGTGGCTGTCTCCCCCACCTTCTCGGTGGGAGTGTCTCTGCAGGTTTAGTCCAAGTTGTGGCTACAAACTATCACCTGAGGGACAGAAACCCTGTAGCCGAGGTAACTACCGGCGGGGCAGCTGCAGTCTTCCGGGGCGGGGTGTGGGACCGGGGACCAGGAACGTCCCCTTAAGGTGCTGTGGCTCTGTGGGCGGGACTAAGGGAGAGGTGGAGGTGGAGCTGGTGTTGTGGGTCAGGGGGTTCCTTGGGCTCGTCCCTGCCTCTTCTGGCCACCTTGGTCGTCGGGTGTGAAGTCACGGAAATTCTTCTCTCGTGTTTTTGAGCTTGTTTTAGTTTTGAAAAACGGGGAGTGGCGGGGGGGGGGGGGGAACAGGCACTGACTATCAAGAATGACGGTGCCGAGTTTCTGTGGTCGGCAGGTGGCAGTGTGGAGCCACGAATGCTTTTTCTACCCCGCCCTTTGCGCTGGAAAAAAAAGTGTTTGGAGCCATTTCCGGGATATTAGATCGTTGGTCTGGGCCTCCTGACTGCTGGGCCCCTTCCTTCCAGTGGCTGAACTGCTCCATTCTTTGGCGTTCCTGCTGAAAACTGGGTGTCTTGGATCTTTGGTATCTTCAATTTCTGATTCTGTGAACTGTCTTCCCGTTGTCTTTTATCAGCATACTTTTCAGTTACCCCGCCACTCAAACCTCATTGTACACAATTTGGAGGACTGATTTAAAAGAAGGTGATGTAAACCACCCTTAGGTCACCCTCCCATGACCACTATTAATTAGTGTGTGATACATTTCTTGATTGGTCTTCCCGGCCGGTAAGGGTGCACTGCGCACACAATGAGATTCATCTTGCGGTGTGACTTCAACCTCTTTTATTTTAGAAACTCAGGGTTTTAACATGAGGTAGCTGTTGTAAAAATCATTTGAAAGGACTTGAATGATTTCCATTTATTCCTCTTTTCAACAGTGTACATGGTCTTAAAGATTGTAAGTATCGTACACTCGGCGAATGGAAAAGAACCTGTCCAAACGGCCCCAGTAAGGCCACTTCCCCCTTGGTGCCCTGGGAACCTGCAACAGGAGCCAGAAGTCTAGGAGAGCAGCAAAGTTGCTTCTCACAAGTGGCGCTGCCCTCCCTGCGACTGTTGGGTTCTGGGCATGTGCGCTGGAGTCCTGTGCCTTCTCTGCCAGTCTCTCTCCCAGTGTCACTGCAGTGTTAGGCCCAGATCAGGCTGCAAACTGTTATGTCCAAGTGGGACCAGTGATACACACTGTTGCAGGATTTCCCCAGGTGACTCACCCAAGGCACCTGTAGCTATCCCCTCTTTACTCTCCTCCAGACTTTTCACCCCGACCCCACCCCACCCCATCCTCAGTCCTGAACAAGCTATTCCAGGGATGCACTCTCAGGTGGTCCTCATTCTTTGCAACCATGCAGGCGACCTGTGGGCCCATGAGCCTGAGGTGGTCAACAGGGAGCCTCTACCTCCTCAGGGACATGCTTCTCTTCCTCTGGACCCTGCATCCCCACACCCAAGTTCTTGCCTGGGCACCAGGGAAGCAGGGCCCCACTCTGGTCTCTCTTCTCCTTGATCTAAGTTTGTAGTATTCTCCTCTGTCATCACCTCAAAACCATAGCCCGCTCTTCTAGCACACCCCCTCCAATGCCTCCCTTTAGACAGCCTTCGAGCTCACGGGGCCTCCTGTGTGGACCCCATAGCTTCCTCACCATCCACCAGGGCTATAAACTGCCCCTCCGACACACTGCTCTTCCTCCATTCTACCCTTTCCACACTCTCGTGCTGCTGTTGGTAAGAGGCCTATCTCTGCCTGTATCAGAGCAGAGCACTTGAACATTGGTGGCCATTTAAGCTTTCTTTAATTCTCTTAAATCCCTAACTAGAAGAGCATTGATTCTCACTTTCACCCAACACCACTGCCTTCCTCTCTAGTAACCCTCTGGCAATCCAATGAGCTTTCCTAAGAACGAATGCAGAACACAGAAGCACAGAGGTAGGCCTACCCCCTGCTTCCCAAGTGGAATGGCCCTGTTTCTCCCCTGTGGCCCTGGGCATGGCCCCTGGTGTCTGCAGCCAGCCCTCACCTGTGCTCGGCATCCCTGGCCTTCCACCTGCTCAGGGACTGTGCTCTTGCACTTAGCAGTAGTCTCCTGAAATATCGCCTGCTCTCAGCACACGGCACTATCCCACGAAATTGGGGGAACCCAACCCCCTTGCACATGGAGTCTTGCTCCTCAGTCCCCTTCAATAAGGCTTAAAAAAAGAGATTTTATTTATTTATATTTAGAGAGGGGGAAGGGAGAGAGAGAGAGGGAGAGAAACATGAATGTGCAGTTGCATCTCGTGTTGTGTACCCGCAGCTGGGGATGTGGCCAGCAACCCAGGCATGTGCCCTGAGTAGGCATTGAACCCGTGACCCCTTAGTTCACAGGCCGGCACTCAATCCACTAGGCCACACCAGCCAGGGCCAATAAGGCTTTTGCAACCCCGTCACACCCCTGCAAACTGGTCTACTCAAGGCCACCAACATTACTGTCCAGATTTTCTGATCCTACCATGAGCGTTTTATGCCCTTCATAGATAACAGCTCTGGCACCTGTGGCACATTTACCAAGTCCATTTTCTATGCCTGTGTGTCTTTATCCATTTCAAAGAACAAAGAGTTATGTGACAATGTAGCCCTTTTGGTTACCTCCACCTCCCTCTTCAGCGAGGGGTCAGGAGAGAGGAGGAATGATGAGTGCAGGAGCCAAGCGCCTGCGTGGGTGGTAGCCATGGGATCCTGAGCACAGGTGAGGGCCGGCTGCAGTCAGGAGTGGGCATGCCCAGCCTCAGTGCTTCAGTGTTTTCACAAACAGGTGGGCTTGAGTCCCTTATTGGACCACAGCAGGAGAGTGTATATAGAGGCAGGGAGGGGGGTGGGGTGGGGTAGGGGGAGGAAGGAGCCAGAGAGATGTGGTAGAAGTGGTGTTTATATTTCTGGGTAGGCTGGATAAGGAGGGGCCTGGTGGTTGTTGAGGAAGGCTGTGGGATCCTCTCTGCAGGTCCCTAAAGGTCCATGGCTCTCTGAGCAGAGGCATCAGAGGAAGTGACCTGGTTGACCGGGGCAGGGTGTTCATTCACAGGTGATCAGAGAAGGAGTGCTAGAAAGGATCATCATGGAGAGGCACTGCTGCATCTCCTGATGCCCAGGGCGTGATTGTGGGCAGGGGAACATACTGTGGGGCGAAGAACCTCCTTGAAGATCCAGATTCTCTGGGTTGACTGGGCCGGGCTCCTGTACCTTGAGGTCACCTGTCGGGTTCGGAGGAATGAGGGCTGAGAGGAGGATGGGGTGTGTGGCATTGAACTCTTGCAGAGATGGATACGAGTGGGTGCACCGGGAGGAAGGCGAGGGTATAGGTAAAGGTCCCGCGTTCCTGGTAGTGGGGCTGCCGGGGCAGTTGGGTCAGAGGAGCTGGACCTCACCGGCCCGGCCCTTCAGCCCCAGGTTCTGAGGTGGTCTGCAACACAACCTGTAGTACAATACCCACTGGCTAGGAGACTGGCAGCGAGCGCACTGGGACCCACGCGCGGGCCCACAAACGGGCAATCAGCGGGAAGTCCTGTCTTCCGGTGCTTCCCTTTAGGGGTGGGACTTCCTGCCAGTACCCCATTCTGAGGGCGGGACTGGAGAAAGGGCCCAATCGGGGCTGGGCGGGTTCACAGCTTTCACGACCACGGGTGTCAGGAGGGGCCCTTCAGTGGGGAGCGGCAGACGGGACACTTTTGTGCCGCGGTCGGTGGCGTGCGGTTTCTTCGGTCAGCAGGGGGCAGTGTGGCACCATGCAGTGATCTGCTTACCGCTCCCCCGCCCAACCTTCTTAAAAAAAGTGTAGACGGAAGTCACGGGACGATTCCCGAGAACAAATGGGCGGTCCCTTCTTGGGTCGGGGTTGCTCCCTTTGGTGGCAGGGCTACCGAAAACGTAGGGTCCGGTTCTGCGACTTGTATTTCTCTTCCTCTAAATGGAGGAGAAATTGGCTTTCTCCAAGTTGTTTGCCTTTGAGCTTTTATTTACTTATTTTTGTAGTAGACTGACAAGTGGAAATTTACTGACAGGATGTGAACATGATGTTATTGCAAGAGTGACATTCCCCAAGGGAACAGTTGTTTAGAGCTTTATGTTCCAGGAAGGAAAGGGCAAACGGTGGGCTCAGCATAAAGACCAAATAAGGAAAAGAAGAAGAATAGGCAGAAAGTTAAAATTTTTACCCTGCAACAGAGTGAGGAGAGCCAATGAATACCCAGGAGATAAGGAGGTTGCCAATGGCTAACTGCCAACTCTGCTTTTGGAAACAGCTTGCTTGCTCTGCTAATCCTATATAAGCCCTCTAGTCTGTAAGCCAGGCGCGGCTTCCATGTTGTAGCTCTGAGTAGCCACGTGACTTCGGTCACAGTTGGGGAAGTCCGCCCCTGCGCAGGTAAAGCTTTTGGCCAATAAATAACATCTTAAGCTCTAAGTGTCTGGACATCTGTTTACTCGCTCTTCGAATACAACATTTGGAGGCCCCAGCGAGATCCACTTCCCGGGAGGGAGGTTTCCTCCAGGAACTGAAAGAGCGGCCGGCCCGGTAAGTTCTGGGAGGATCCTCATTTGGTTTCGGTGGTCTAGACCTTTTAAGCCTCGAGGTGATAGGCGGAGACGGAGCTAGGCTCCCGTGACGGTCGCATCTGGTTTCGGTTTCGCGCTGCACCGCGCTGGGTGACGTATGCCTGAGAACCGCGGTTCGCCTGTGTGTGATAAGAGATTGTGCTTGCTTGTGTGTTTTCTGTTGGTCTTGGTTGTTACCGTTCTTGTCTCTGAAATCCCCAAGGTCGTCCAGCGCATCAGGATGGGCCAGAGTGGATCCGTGCCCGGGTCACCCCTCGATTGCCTATTAAATAATTTTTCTGATTTTCAGAAGCGAGCGCAGGGTTATGGCGGACCGCCACCCGATCCTGAAATCCTCCGGACCTTCAGTGAACTGGAGTGGCCGACTTTCGGTGTTGGGTGGCCCTCCGAGGGAACCTTTGATTTGCCCTTTCTGTTCGCCGTCAGAGGGGTAGTGTACCGGGTGCCCCACCCCGATCAAATGGTATATATTGATGTCTGGGTGGACATTGTGCAACTGACCGCCCGGGATACGGCGGTGCCAGAGTAACGGGCGGAGGGGAAGACGGGCAGTGTGTCTGGCGGCACCCCGAGGCGGAGGCAACAGGCCTAGAGGGGCCCCGGGACGCTCGCAGCAGCAGACGCCACCGGAAAAAGAGGGGCCAAGGCTTTACCCCGTCTTGCAAGGGGACTCTGAGGATCTCTTAGTTTCCCCTTCGGCACCGCCACCCTACTCTCATCCTCAGCCCGACACCACCCCTGGGGGAGGAGTGCAGAGTCCTCCGCACACAAGGGGAGGAAGTAGGTGGGGGGGGGGAGGCACCGCCCCAGGGCGGCGCCGACATCTTACCCCTTAGAGAAGTACCACCAGCGCCAGATGCACCCCCGCGGGCACCACCCCGGCTGATTTATGTCCCCTTTTCCACCAGTGATTTATACAATTGGAAACATCAAAACCCTCCGTTCTCAGAAAAGCCGCAGGGGCTGATTTCCTTGCTGGAAACTATTTTCAGAACTCGTCAGCCCACGTGGGATGATTGTCAGCAGGTTTTGCAGACCCTTTTTACCTCGGAAGAACGGGATAGGATAATGAGGGAGGCTGCGAAGGCGGTGATGGGGGAGGAGGGAGAGACAGCATATGGGAGGCGGGAGGTGCAGGATATTCTACCCGAGGAGCCCCCTAATTGGGACCCAAACTCGAGTGGAGGAAGGGAGGCGCTCCTCCAGTACCGCCGGGCTCTACTTAGAGGACTAAAGGCGGCATCTAGGAAACCAACAAATTTTAGCAAAACTAGTGAGATAATTCAAGGAAGGGAAGAGTCCCCTGCGGCGTTTTTAGAGAGACTTATGGAAGCTTATAGAGTCTACACCCCACTTGACCCAAGAGCTCCAGAGAATAGGAGGCTGCTGAATATTGCCTTCGTAACCCAGGCTGCCCCAGATATTAGAAAGAAGTTACAAAAAATAAAAAAGTTTGAAAAAAAATCAGTAAATTAGTAGAGATCGCCCAGAAAGTGTATGTGAACAGGGATGACCCAGAAATAGGGAGGGCAAAAGAAGTTGCAAAAATCCTGATTGCAGCCCAAAAACCCCCTCCCAAGAATCAGAAAGGGGAAAAGAGACACAGAAATCAGAGGCAGCCATTAGACAAAGACCAGTGTGCATTCTGCAAGGAGAAAGGCCATTGGAAACGAGAGTGCCCTAAGTTACAGGCTAAGAAGATGGAGCAGGAGGCGGGACCTGCTGTGCTGCTCCAAACCTTGGACTGAAGGGGCCCGGCTCCATCTCTGTAGGCTCCCAAGAGCCCATGGTCACTTTAGATGTTGAGGGGAAACCAATAAACTTCCTCGTCGACACGGGAGCCACCTTTTCTGTCCTAAAGCAGCCACAAGGAAAAGTACAGAAAGCAAAAACTAAGATAGTAGGGGCAACAGGTAAAGAAGAAGCATATCCGTGGACCACGGCCCGGATAACGAACTTGGGTTCAGGCACTATTACTCACTCCTTCCTAATCATCCCAGATTGCCCTTACCCCTTGCTTGGGAGAGATTTACTGCAAAAACTTCAGGCCACTATTACCTTCCGAGGGAGCGACCAGCCGGGTGGAGAAGGCCCAGCAGAAGCTAAGCCTGGGGTCCGGCTAGAGGTAACCGTGCCAATCTCAGAGGAGTACTTGCTCGCAGCCCTCCTCGAAGGTAAGGAGGGGGATGATGTCCCACAAGACCTGCTTTCTGAGATACCTGGGGTCTGGGCAGAGACCAACCCGCCAGGGCTGGCAGCGCACCAGCCCGGTCAGGGTGCGACAGTATCCCGTCCCAGCTCGGGCTAGGCAGGGCATAGCCCGGCACCTCAAGCGCCTCCTGGAGGCAGGCATCTTGAGGGAATGCCAGTCACCCTGGAACACGCCCTTACTACCAGTCCAGAAACCCGGGACCCAAGATTATCGGCCCGTGCAGGACTTAAGGGAAGTGAATGCCCAAGTAGAAACTATTCACCCCACTGTGCCTAACCCGTACACCCTTGTTGAGCTCACTGCCCCCGACCCATGTCTACTACTCAGTACTAGACTTGAAAGACGCTTTCTTTTGTATCCCACTGGCGCCAAAAAGCCAGGAGATTTTCGCATTTGAGTGGGGTGATCCAGAAAATGGACTAATTGGGCAATACACCTGGACCCGCCTGCCGCAGGGTTATAAGAACTCTCCCACTATATTTAGTGAAGCCTTAGGCAAGGACTTGCAACCTTTCCGCACCTCTCACCCCTCCGTAGTGCTCTTGCAGTATGTAGATGACCTGCTCATCGCGGCCACGAGTCCGAATGAATGTGAAACTGCGACGAAAGACCTTCTGCGAGAGCTAGAGGAGAAGGGGTACCGAGTGTCTGCTAAGAAGGCCCAGATTGCCAGACAGACCGTGAGTTATCTGGGCTATAATCTGCAGGGCGGACAAAGGATGCTGTCCAGCCAACGGATTCAGGCCGTGATGCAGATTCCTGAGCCCACCAACAAGAGGCAGGTACGGGAATTTCTGGGGGCCGTGGGATATTGCAGGCTCTGGATACTGGGCTTTGCGGAGTTAGCCCGGCCTCTCCATGAATTAACCAGAGGAAAGGAGGACTTTTTCACATGGACACAGAAAGAGAGGCAGGCCTTCCAAGCATTAAAGGAGGCCCTGACCACGGCCCCCGCACTGGCCCTGCCTGACCTGACTAAGCCCTTTTAGCTCTTTGTGGCTGAGAAGGGGGGAGTAGCCCTCGGGGTACTAAGGCAAGAATTAGGGCCCTGGAGGAGACCTGTGGCCTATCTATCCAAGAAATTAGACCCCGTGGCCTCGGGTTGGCCGGCCTGCCTACGGGCATTAGCCGCAACTTCTGTGCTGGTGAAAGAAGCCAGTAAACTAACTCTAGGACAAGATATTCAGATAATTGGAGAACATTATTTGGAACAGATATTGAGAGCCCCGCCTGACAGGGGGCTGTCAAATGCACGGCTTACCCAGTACCAGGCTCAGCTGTTAAATCCTCCAGCCGTAATGTTTTTGAAAACAACGGCGTTAAACCCAGCCACCTTACTACCAGCCCCAGACCCCACCATTATCCATGATTGCTCCCATGCGCTGGATGCAGTACCTGGGTCTCGGCCAGACATGAGGGACCAGGCATATGAGAAGCCAGATCTCACCCTCTACACCGATGGGAGCAGCTATGTTCAAGATGGACAACGCCTTGCTGGGGTGGCAGTGGCCACTGAGACTGAGGTATTGTGGAAGCAGGCATTGCCTGCTGGAACTTTGGCACAGAAGGCTGAGTTAATCGGACTGACTCAGGCCCTGAGGATGGCTGAAGGTAAGGTTGTAAACATTTACACTGACAGCCGATATGCCTTTGCCACGGCCCACATACATGGGGCAATATATAAAGAAAGGGGCCTCCTGACTGCAGGAGGCAAGGACATTAAAAACAAGAAATTTTGGCCCTTCTCGATGCCATTTGGCTCCCTGCTAAGGTGGCCATAATCCACTGCAGAGGGCATCAGCGGGGCGAGACGCCAATCATTAGAGGAAATAACCTTGCAGACGCAGCCGCGAGAGAAGCAGCCGCGCAAAGAGGGAGTGTGCTGCCACTGCTTCCTCATCCAAACCTTCCACCGTCCCCTCACTACACTGCTGAGGAAGAACAACTCGGAGAAAAGTTAAGAGAGAACAAAAACCAAGCTGGGTGGATTGTTTTGCCAGATTCGAGGATATTTTTACCCCAGGGAGTGTTAGGGAAGGTGATACAAGACATTCACACCAGTACCCACTTAGGTCAAAACAAGCTAGACAAGCTAGTCAGGAAATATTACCTAGGGCTAGGATTTAGGGATGCAGTTCATTCAATAACCGCTAGGTGTCAGGCTTGTGCCAAGGTTAACGCCCAAAGTAAGAAATTGCCTCCACTTATTAGATATAGAGAGAAATTTCCTAGAAAATTATGAGAACTAGATTTCACTGAAATGACAAAGGGCACGTCCAGATACAGATACCTCTTGGTACTAGTAGACACTTACTCTGGGTGGGTAGAAGCCTTTCCTACCAGAGGTGAGACTGCGTCCACAGTTTGTAAACTATTAAGAGAAATTATCCCTAGGTATAGAATACCTCTAGCCATAGGATCAGACAATGGGCCCGCTTTTGTATCCAAGGTTTCACAAGAACTTGCCGCGAGGCTAGGAATTAACTGGAAACTACATTGTATATATAGGCCCCAAAGTTCAGGCCAAGTAGAAAGAATGAATAGAACCCTGAAAGAAACTTTAATAAAGTTAAAAGAAGAGACCGGCAGGAACTGGGTTGAGCTACTCCCTTTCGCCCTCTTCAGGGTGAGGTGTACCCCTTACGTTAAGACTTGGGCACCCTATGAAATTATGTTTGGACAACCTATTCCTCTAGTTCCCAAACTCACTGCTGAGGAATTAGAACTAACTAACTCTAACTTCCTCAAGTTCTTGCAGGCTTTGCAGAACATCCGCCGTGAGGTGAGAGCTCTCCAGCAGGAGAGATATCCTAGAGAACAAGGAGCAGAAGCTCCGGAGCCTGGACAGTGGGTGTGGATCCTGAATCATCGAAGGGGGAGTCTGGAGCCCCGCTGGATTGGGCCGTACCAGGTACTGTTGAGCACACCTTCAGCTGTGCGAGTGGCAGAAAAACCCTACTGGATACATCTTGCCCACATCAAGCCGGCCCCAACACCTGACGAGAGTGAAAAATGGAGTGTGCAGCCAGTTCCAGGGGAACCCTTACGGGTAAAGTTCTCCAAATCCTGACAATCCTAGTAGTCCTAGGCCCCCTACTGGGAAGGGGGTTTAGGATCCAAGAATGGGTGCTGATCAGGACTGCTGATGGTACTGTGATTGCTACCAACTATACGTGGGGAGGTGCTCCGGTTTCCCTAAAGACTGATTTCTCTAAGTTTTTTGATGATCGGTTCTGTGACTCCCAGGCGGCCATACCCGTTATGAACACCCTCGTCCCCCGCCCAAGGCAAGTCCTATTCTCCGCTTGCGAAAACTTAGCCAAGAATTACGGCCTGTGGTTCGTTAATTCATACGGGTGCCCCGAGACCACTAGCAAAACAAAGCCCAGGTGTGGAGGGTTTAGAGAATTCTATTGTAAAGCATGGGGTTGTGAAACCCTCGCAATGGGCTGGACGCCAGGAGGAGGGGCAGATAAGCACATAACCCTCCTTAGGGAAAGAAAGACACCCAAACCTGAGGACTGCAAAAAAGACAACTGTAACCCTACCACCATAACTGTCCTAAAACCCGACGACCCCGACTGGATAAAAGGCCGTACCTGGGGAATAAGACTTTACATAAGTGGAGAAACTGACCCAGGAGCCTTCATTACAGTTAAAAGGCTACCTGTTGGGAACAGGCCACTGCTGAGGGGTTTAGGAGGGGCTGCCACCCCGACCTCCTAGACCCGCCAACCCGCCCAGTAGGGTACCACCCCCAGGGAATCTGTCCCTAACACCTTTCCCAACGGAGGAAGGAAGAACTAGCCCAGCTCCTTTACCTACAAGGGAAGCGCCATAGTCTCCAAAGGATGAGCATAGACCGCAGGAAGGAGGGTCCACCTATGAACTACTAGATAAAGTCTTCCCCTTCCTAAATGAGACCCGGCCAGAAGTCACTGAATCTTGCTGGTTATGTTTGAGCCCCAGGTCTCCCTTTTATGTAGAAATAAAGATAAACACCTCAGGGATAACATTAAACACAGTACCAATCTCAGCTGTAGAGAGCTGTGAAGAAGATGGGACATTAACCTTAGCTGAGTTCCATGGAAATGGGACCTGCTACATATTAGAAGACTATAATCTCACCTCTTCTGACTATAGCAGTTATTGTTTAAATCAAGTCCATATCACTATCAACCAGAGTAGTGATCCCCAGTTTCCCAGGGCTCCTGAAGGAGTATGGTTCATTTATACCCAAGAAATATTTAAATGCCTGATTCCTACCGGTCCTACCCTATGTGTTAGTGCATATATTATCCCGCAAGTGTACCTCTGTGGAGGGAATCCCACCTTCTTGCTAGAGCCACCTAGGTGAGTAAAAAAGAACCCGCTCCTGATCCCCATAATAGCTACCATAGGCATTATAGGCTCTACAGCAGTAGGAGCAGGAGCTTATGTGCATAGTGATAATAGCTTAAGGATGCTCTCCCAGACCTTCTCTAAGGACATATCCCTACTACAAGATCAGGTAGTCTACCTAGAAAGACAGGTCGACTCACTGGCAGAAGTAGCTCTACAAAATAGAAGGGGGTTAGACTTACTATTTCTTAAACAAGGAGGATTGTGTGCAGCCTTAGATGAAGAATGCTGTTTTTATGCTAATCACTCTGGAGTAATTAGAGAAAGTATTAGAACCTTAACTAAAAGACTTAGAGAGAGAATGAACCTGATAGTCCTAACTGGTTTGCCTCTTTATTCAAGCCCTCACCCTGGCTGACCACCCTGGTATCGGCTTTAGTAGGACCTTTAATTCTGCTGTTATTGACCCTAACTTTAGGGCCCATCATCCTCAAAAAGTTACTTGCCTTTATAAAAGATAGAGTTGACGGAATCAAACTAATGGTCCTGGCTCAACCCTATACCCTCTTGCCCCAAGAAGAGCGACAGTCAAGGGTTTGACTAGTAACTAGAGAAGGGGGGAATGTAGTAGACTGACAAGTGGAAACTTAATGACAGGATGTGAACAGAATGTTATTGCAAGAGTGACATTCCCCAAGGGAACAGTTGTTTAGAGTACTTTATGTTCCAGGAAGGAAAGGGCAAACGGTGGGCTCAGCATAAAGACCAAATAAGGAAAAGAAGAAGAATAGGCAGAAAGTTAAAATTTTTACCCTGCAACAGAGTGAGGAGAGCCAATGAATACCCAGGAGATAAGGAGGTTGCCAATGGCTAACTGCCAACTCTGCTTTTGGAAACAGCTTGCTTGCTCTGCTAATCCTATATAAGCCCTCTAGTCTGTAAGCCAGGCGCGGCTTCCATGTTGTAGCTCTGAGTTGCCACGTGACTTCAGTCACAGTTGGGGAAGTCCGCCCCTGCGCAGGTAAAGCTTTTGGCCAATAAATAACATCTTAAGCTCTAAGTGTCTGGACATCTGTTTACTCGCTCTTCGAATACAACAATTTTTAGAGGGGAAGGGAGGGAGGAAGAGAGGGGGAAGAACCATCCACGTGTGGTTGCCTCTCCCGTGCCCGTTGCCCGGGGCCTGGCCTGCAACCCAGGCAAGTGCCCTGGACTGGGAATCCAGCCAGTGACCCTTTGGTTTGAAGGCGGGCACTCAGTCCACTGGGCCACCCCAGCCGGGGCTCTCCAAGTTCTTTTGATCCTTCACGAAGATATTCTTCAGTTATGTTAGGCACTCAAACCTCTCCCTTTAGAAAAATTTAGAGCTGATTAAACATAATAATCTAAAGCACAGTCCCATCGCCCACCAATGACCATGAATAATACTTCCTGATGAACTTTCTTAGATGTTTTCAGGCTTTCATGTGCTGTGTAAACACAATGACACTCATATTGCATTGTCACTTCAACATCTGTTATTAAACGAGATTTTTCAAATTAGTTACTTATTAAGAATCATTTGAGAAGACTTGAAAAAATTTTTTTCACTTCTCTCCCTAAAATTACATGTAGTGTAAAAGAGTTAAAAATTATATTTAAGCACTGATACAGGAAGCAGAAATGACTGCTCAGCTCTATATCTTCCCACAGACAGGGGCTATATCTATTTTTTGCTTCATTGTTTTATTTTTGCTCTCCATTGTATTTTCCGGATGTCAAGGGAACACCACCCAAAGCAGTGTGTTCTCCAATATATATATAAATACGTATATTTCAAGTCAATGAGCAAGCATCTGATTTCTTCCAAATTCTTGTCTTGGTAAATAAGTCATTGTTTCTTAATACTGGGATGGGACTGCCATGAACCATTTCCTACATGCCCCCCCCCTCCCACCACCACCACCACACACACTTTCCCATTTAGCATGGGAGTGACCCCTGTGCCCTCACACTGCTTTGAAAAGTTTTGCTGTCTCCTTCACTCTCTTCCCCAGTGAGGCTTTTATTTCCTTCTCATGCTGGGGGCAGGAAAGCATCCTGCAAGCCAGGGTGCAATGTGCAGGGTCTGACTGGACCTCGAGGCCCTCTCTGAGGGAGCCCTGAGACCACAGACAAGTGAGCCCTGCTGTGCACCACAGTTCCCACGGGTGTGAAATGAGGGCGGTAACAGCTTCTGCTTGCTGGGGTGGCAGCCAGTACACATGACCCAGCAGGTCGGCAGCTGGGCACTTGCAGATGTCATGTTCCCAGTCTTGGTGCCACCTCCGATATTCCCTGTAGTGTTTGTAGTTGGTTCATGATTTCCGGCCACCACACTGAGTGCGGCAATAAAAGGCACTGTTTACATTTACTTACAGCAGACAGCTTTTCAACTCCCCACTTGGGCTTTCTGGTGGAAAACTCACTGGTGATTTGGAGGGCTTTCCATCGAGAAGATCTATATATGAGGAAATGCTCTGGACTGCAGTCACTTGGGAAGACAGGGAAAAGTCCAAAGAAAAAGAGAGGAATCATCTCTCACAGGACAACCCTGAACGCGGTTTGCACATCACCTTCGTTTTTACCTCCTCGTGATGGTTCCCTGTCCAATGTCGAATTCTGAAGTTTTTATGGTTGACATTGGGTAATTTGTATATTTTCTTGAAACTGAACTTTCCCTATATTCCAGAACATGCGCCTTCCACATTTCCCACATGGTTTTTGAAACAGAAAAAAAAAGTCACGCACGGTAAACGTTTTGCACAAATCTCTGCCCACCTTTTAGATAATTTGCCTCACGCGGATTCCTACCAGCTGACACATATTTCCACATGCCTTTAACCAGGAACATAGGTCAGCGCCTGCATCGCTGCATCCTGAGAGCACTGGTAAATTTTTAAGCGTTGCTGAATGGAAAGGTAAACAATATTCTGTCCTTGTTCTAAGATAACAATTTTCTGTGTAAGATTCAATATCTTTTCATATAATTAGTACTTTTGTTATTTATTTGTATATCCTCGTGTAAAACGGATTGGCGAGAATTCACATAAAGAGATCTCATCAATTTTAAAACGAGTGCTTGAGATAGTAAGGAGAAGTGAGAAGTAAAAGAGAAAATGGAGCTAGAGAGGATTGAAATTAGTTCACTAAGTCCATGTCTCCTTTCCTTTTTCCACTTCCCTCCCCTCTCCTCCCCCATTTTTTGCTATTGCCCCCCACCCAAAAAAAAAACCTTCACAAACCACAATGAGCACAAAAACAGCTCTCAAAAGACACAGCTGAGTGACAGCTGCAGGCATGAGATTGAACCAAAGAACCAGGCAAGAGGTACCCAGGAGTGCAGTGAACTCCCAAGCTCTCCAAACACTAGTCTGGAGCAGTTACTGATAAGAAAACAACGACCTACGACATACCACACAGTCTGTGCTCCTCTCTTCTCCTCGCCCCTCTCCAGGAGCTCCAACCCTGCTTAGGCCTCGGAGTCATCTGGTCTCACCTTGCTCCTTGATGTACCTCAGTGGGATAAAATCTATAACCCCTGTTTGAGACACTTTAACCTTTTTTTTTTCCTTTTTCCTTGACAGTATGGTGCCTTGGCTGGGATAGGTGTGAAGTGTCACCAGACCCTACTGAGGTTTCAGACTAGGGTTGAGCCCACAGAGTATCCCTCCCTTCTTTGTCTCTCGGGGAACACAGCTTGAGAGCCGAGTCCCGCTCCTGTGTTCCGGTGTCGCACCCTG